CTTTTCGGGTCACAAAAATACGCTTAAACATTTCATTATAGTATATTCTCGAAGAATTCGGTCACCTCCTCTTTCTCTATCCGGATATAATTAATTTCTCAAAGTAGTAATGTCAGAAAAATTACTGTTTTGCGGAATAGCTAGGCTATTTTCACTCAGCGATAACGATCTTGTTATTCTCGTGTCATACAATAGGTTTTCGGTAAGTTTCAATTTAAAGCACTATCAAATCTCAAAAGGTCTAAGCTATCTTCACCTATATAAACGTCTTCTAAGTTTATTTCGCAAGGCAGTAATTTTGGAAGAATTACTGTTTTGCAAAATGGACCATAAATGATTTAAATGCCGCCTGAGAAAACTGACTCGTGACAGATCGGGTTTACAGGTCTCACCTTTCCTTGCATGTAAGTGTTTTAATTAGCTGTGGTCTGTACTTCTTCACTGCCAAGCAACAAGGCGGTGTTTTCCTTTCCTCAGCTTCAAATGATTAAGTAAGAGCCAATTAATAACTCCATCTCAATTAACATGCAACAAGAGGTTTGGGCTAACAGGTTCATTTAATCAAAATCGACAACTGTGTAGTACCGTATTGCGTGACGCCGAAACCAAGTCAAGAGAGCCCCGCTGAAGGCCCAAACCGAGGTTGTGTTCAATTAATGACATGGGAGGGAGCGGAAAGTAAGAGGTAAAAGCCGTCTTTACTAGCGACGGAGCTATTCTAGGGGGAAGTTGAAAGACTCCATTTCGTGCGTTTTGAAGGGTGTGCACTGTTTCGGTGCAAAACCAACATGACAGTTTTCCAGTGGCGGCTAAACATGTTTAGACTCTCCGTCTCGTATAGAGAACAGAAGCATATCCATGCCGAAATAGTCGTCCAGCAGTTTTATAATCGCAAGTAATACAGTTACTTTGCTTCAAAATTTTTAATAAAAATAACGTACATGGAAAAGTTACGCGCTTCTGATTACACCCCCGTCGCACACCTCTTCCTTACGAGCAAGAGATCGTGTTTCGCATTTGCGCAAGTTCCACGTGCTGCAAGAAGTTTGCTTTCTGCTCGCTTTGTGTGCTGCTAAATCAGGCAAGATTATGGCTTTTAAATTTCCTGTTCTTAAGCCCAAGACCATCGACTGTTCAGGTCTTCCAGTTCATGATTTCAAGTGTTTGACAAACAAGGAAATCATTAGTAAGGGCGCTTATGGTGCTGTGTTCACTGTTAACTGGCAGACTGTTCCTGATGCGGGTGGGAAATCGGCCGCTGTGGAGAAAGTCGTCGTTAAGAAATTGCTCGGCGAGGACATATTGGATAAGAAAACGTTTGTAAAGGAAGCAAGAATCATTCAAGAGTTGAAACATCCAAACATTGTGAAGTTCAAGGGAATCTGCAACAATCCCTTCGCCCTTATTCTCGAGTTCCCGCCCGCCGAGTGTAAATAATCCATTTCGCAAAATAAACATTTTTCGGAATTACTACATTCAATTAGTTTAGAAATTACTACATTAAAGAGGAGGTGACCAAGATCTTTGAGAATATACTATAATGTAATGTTTAAATGTATTTTCGTGACATGAAAGAGGTCACGCAAAATAGCAACTCTCCTAAAATTACTATTTTGCGAAATATATTTTAATACGGTTTAAGAAATGAGAGGAAGCCAAAATGTTCGGTAATATACTAATTTGTAATGTTTAAATGTATTTTCGTGACGTAAAAGAGGTCACGTTGTCACCGCAGGGTGAAAATAGTCCATTTCGCAAAATAGTAACTCTCCTAAAATTACTATTTTGCGAAATACATTTTAATACGGTTTAAGAAATAAGAGGAGGCCAAAATGTTCGGTAATATACTAATTTGTAATGTTTAAATGTATTCCCGTGACATGAAAGAGGTCAAGTTGTCACCGCAGGGGTGAAAATGGTCTATTTCGCAAAATAGTAACTCTCCTAAAATTACTATTTTGCGAAATACATTTTAATACGGTTTAAGAAATAAGAGGAGGCCAAAATCTTCGGTGATATACTAATTTGTAATGTTTAAATGTATTTTTGTGACATGGAAGAGGTCACGTTGTCACCGCAGGGTGAAAAATTCCATTTCGCAAAATAGTAACTCTCCTAAAATTACTATTTTGCGAAATGAATAAAAATCCTTCTTGTTAATGAACGATTACTCCAAATTCCTTGTGAAAGTTTTCTTTACCTTGTTAGAAAATATATCTGCATTATTCCTTTAGTTTTGTTCTATCTCACCTGATTTCGTTTCGTTTCGTTTCGTTTCGTTTCGCAAAATAGTATAAGCCGTGAAGTTTTCAAAGCTTTACAAATTTTATGAAACTATGCAAACTGAAGATCATGTACCAAACTCGTATATGTGGCCCACCCTACAGCTGGGTGTAAAGAATGGCGAAGGAAAACTTCAGCGTTACGGGGAAACATTTGCTGGCGTTTACGAGGAATATGAAAACGAAGTTCATCACGTGTTCCCTGCTTTGAATGTGGAGGCTCGCGCTCTGCCAAGTAAAGAAGAGGTTTTCCAAGCGTTATTACCAGAAGGCTTAAATCTAACCCTCCATGATATCGAGATGGCTGATCAGAATCAAAGATAGAGAAAGCAAAAGGAATAAGGAAAGAAAGGCGACAGGATTTCACAGTGTTTAACAGCCCTCACGATTACTTAGTTTTTTTACATGGTTGCCACGCTAAAAGCAAAAGCATTTCTGGTATTTCCGACATTGTCATTGTATTAATACCGTAATTTCCGGCCATTTACCCGCGCGGCAGATTACACAGTAACAAGAAAAAAATTTCAGCAGATCACCCGCACTAGCAGATAGCCCGCACCCAAAAATAAAAGAACATCGTCAACTCACACAAAGTTCCTCCATTGTGTTTTGTTGACATGATATCTTTTAGCGCGCAATCAATAAATTTTCACACTTCTTGTTTTCGATGTTTCACTGAGAATGATACCATTTGTAAAAATCAGTTCTGAAAAAAAGTCGATATCTCGAGATCTACGAGTCAAAGAAATCGCTTGAAACGGGAAAATACTCTTTAACTCAACGCAGTGGTAGGCAGCGTCGGATTTTCTGTCGAGCTATTAATTATGAGGTGCCATAAAATGAACATGTCGGCAGCAGTTTCCGTGTGAATTGCTCTGAAGCCTGCTTATTTCACAATTCATCCTTTTATTTTCAAGTTCATTACCAGTGTAGGTGAGGATTGTTTTTTTGAACTTAACGAAGAAACAAGCTGAGAAATTGACAAGGTGAGAAAGTAAGAGTACAAACAAGATAAAAGCTCTATTATCGAGTGTTGAAGATATGTTTTCGATTTGCATCGGCTCTGATGTTCTTATCATTGAGAAATCCATTCTATAATCATTTAATTAGGCCCAATCCATCTAATAGCATGCTTTATTATGTAGGTGACTGTGTATTGAATTTAATGTAAAAATAATTATTTGTTTGGATAATGGTATATATCATCTTCGTCGTCTTCGTCATCAGGGTAGAATTTTTCTTTACCTAGTACAAACAAGTCAGGCATGTCCTGTTCAGGGCTAATATGGCAAGGCTAATTTACTTTCCCTTGGAAAGGTATTTCAATCAAGAAAACATTTTTTCAGTAAGACCAAACTATACACATCCAAACTTGAAAATGCCTGTGGCACCAAATTTTCACTTAACACTTGAATCCTGTTAAGTATCAAATTATCGCTGAGATGCCAAAACTGTTTGGAAAACTCAAACTAAACCGAATGAGGTGAACTGCACAAGACCTTTTATTTGCCAAAATGTTTTACTGGATTACTGCAAGGTAGTAATAACTATGTGCATGATTCTTGTGAACAGAAATCTACAGTCACATAAGTGCTTGAAGATGGTCACTTGAAAAAGCAAATTTACCTTGAACATGCATTTTTTCAAGTCTAAGCATGTTATGACATAAGTAGACAATGTGTGATTGGAAGCAGTTTTATCTTTGTTATTAAAAGTCATAATTGTGGAGTGATGATCATTTCTCAACAATGAAGTACATTTGACTCCCAATAACTCAAATCTTCAAAGGGAAAATGAAAAGGTTTCTGTTTGAGCTCTTGCTGAAAAGTGTGGAAATTTACATCGCAAATTATAAGAGAAAGCAGTGAAGTAAAAAGGGAATATTGGCAGGAAATATTCAAGCTCCAGTTAATTTTACAAAGATGGGATTTTGAGTGAGTAGTTTCCACCCGAGGACCCACTCCTGCTAGGGGGGTTTGGGGGCATGCCCCCCCGAGAAAATTTGAAATTTGGAGCTCTCTAAAGGCCATTTCATGCATTTTTAGAAAATTTAATTGCCCCCAAAAGACTAAAAAAGCATGTAATCAAAAAGGCAAAAAACATTTATTTTTCTTGAAAGTACTACAGGAAACACTCTGATCTACAAATATTCCACCTTTAGCTACTGTGCAAACCAGTGTATATAGTGTTTTCAGGAAGGCCAAGTCATCACCAAGACTTTTCACACTGGAAAACATCACCTCCCAGTCAGGAAAATCAAGATGTGGAGAAAAAAAAACGAACCAAGTGTTAGTGTTTTTGATAACAAAAGAAAAACAAGCACAATTGATGATATAGTTTAAAGATTGATAATAAAAATCTACTTGCCTTTTTCATCCTTGGGACCACAGGCTTACCATCCATAAAGCCCTTCTCTCTCTCAAATTTCTTCTGTGTTGTGCTCCTATAATGAATGAAATGAATGAAAGCCAGGCTCAATAAATCCAAATGTTTAGCAACACTAAAAACAACATTTCCTGAGCTGGCTTTTATTCATTTCATTTATAGGAGCACAACACAGAAAAGAATTTGAGAGAGAGAGAAGGGCTTTATGGATGGTTAGCCTGTGTTGGGAGCTGGAATTCAAAAAATAAAACAATTATTAGAAAAATATAAATTATAAGAATCATAAAATGATATACAAATTGAAGTAAAATGATAATTTGAAATAATACTAGCCTTTCTTCATCCTTGGGAATTGCTGTGAAGCTGGTTGAGTTCAGTGAAAATGTTTGTTAACCATTTAAGCTTAACATGAAAACCCAATGTCAATGTCAATGGAAAATCATCACAAGTAAAACAAAATAGAAAATAACCTTGAAATGAGTTGAAAAAAGTTATACAGGCACCAGTTTGAGCTTCTGTACTGTTCTCCATCAGTTTAAGGATTATGAGACTTAAAGGCCATAACCCAGACAGAACATAACTCACAAGTACTCTAGAAACAGCTGGTGCAAAAAATTATTACAAAATGTTTGCCATTCTCATTCTCCTAGGATGTAACTCAGCAAATAAATCTATTATACGTTCAAGGTCAAAATCCATGTCTCTGTGGGCATGCATCAGTGCCAATCCATTCAGTCTGTCCTGGGTCATTGTATTTCTCAAATAGTTCTTAAGATTCCGAAGGGATGATATGGATCTCTCACAAGATGCAGATGAAATTGGAATTGTGATCAGGACTTTCAGCATGGAATAGATGTTGACATATGCATCTTTGTCAATATCCTTCAGTGTAGCCTCCAAACTGTCAGGAATAATATCTCCTCTGTTATCCCTCCCCTTCCACAATCTCTCCCATAACAAAAGCTCTGCCTGTAATCCTGCATAATTTGGTATGTCCTGTCTGTAATGGTTACAAAATTCCAAAACATTGGCCTTCCAGGCAGGGTCAGTAGCTAGTAAAACAGAGGGAATAATCGAAATACCTTTATAGCAAACAAATACATCATCCTGGAATCTGGTGTTGAGCTGCTGGAGTACATGGTCAAGAAAAACTCTAGTGAGATTGATCTTGAAATATCCCTCAGGAGTTGCAGCAGGAGCATTATTTCTATGCATTTGTCTCTGGGCTATCCTTGGCATTTCTGGCTGGACTGCTACTTGTCTTGCAATGGTCACTGCTTCCTGGTAGAGATTATGATGTCTGTTATCAATGTCAGTGCTCATGTCTTCAAGGACTGATTTCAAAAGAGCAAGTTCATCTTTAGCTTTTAGAAGATCCATTGCTTTTTGTTGCAGCTTCACTGTGAGTGGTCTAGTTAATCCCAAAATATGTCTGACAATAACAAGAGAAACAATAAAGGAAAAGTTGATTGCATTAATTAAGGACTGAGCATCATGTCTGCTTGTTGGATTCCAGGTTGAGTCTCCAGGGCTGTTTCTGTTAAGTGAGATGTCTTCAAGTGTAGCTGTGACTGGGTAGAGAAGTTCAACTATGCGGTCCATTCCATCAATCCGTTCAATCCATCGTGTGCGGCACACATCAATTAAAACAGTATGGTTTGCCCGAGGCAATAGTTCTCTGATCTTGGCTATTAAATGTTGTTGACGCTTGGGAGAGTTGTTAAAAAAATTAGAAATCTTGCGCACAATATCCATCATGTTCCTGACAATTGGCAATTGGCAAGTGTCTGCTATGCACAAATTAAGCCTGTGGTTCATGCAGTGGACATAGATTGCCTTTTCGTGTTCTGCACTGATCAATGAGGAGGCTCCATTTAGTCTTCCAGCCATATTGCCTGCACCATCATAACACTGCCCACGACAGTCTTCCATTGTCAATCCTAAGTTTGCTACAGCTGCAGTTATAATGTCCTTGATAGCCTCCCCTGTTAATCCCTCCTCACAAATGTAATACCCAATAAATTCTTCTCGGATGGTTTTAGTTGTATCCAGAAATCTTATTACTACAGAAACATTCTCCTTATTTGAAATGTCAGCAGCTTCATCTGCCATAACTGAAAAATACTTACTATTTCTTATTTCCTGTGATAGATCATTCAAAATGTGAGCACCAACAGTTTCTATCATTTCATTCTGAATGGTCTTTGAAATGTATGTGGCATTTCTGGGTGCAGTGTCCAGGTGTTGCTGCAGTGTTTGGTCACCACTGTCTACCCGGAATTCTAGCAATGCCTGGAAATTACCGGTTAGGGCATTAGTGGGATCATCATCTCTCCGCCCCCTGAGTGGGATGTTGTTTTTCCCACAGAAAATAATAGTTTTGAAAAGGGACTTTAGAATCTCCCGATTTCTCGCGATTTGCTGTTGAACTATGTTATTTAACTGCTGGTCAATTGGGACAGCTCCTCTTTGCATCATTCTCTTGAAATCATTCATAGCAGTCATAGAAAAATTGTGAATTTCACAATTTCCTAGCGAGTGTTTGGTTAAGCGAGAAGCGGCCGAAGTCCAATTTGTGAGAGGAGACTTCAATAATTTGTCTAACTTATTAGCGTTTCGCCCACACTGAACTCCAAAACAAACACAAGCTAAACAAAATGCTCCATCGAAATATTTGGAGTAAGCTAGCCATGGAAATCTTTTCAGCCAGCCCGAGACAAACTTACGAGATTTTCCATTTTCCATTGACACGGGGAAATCAAAAAGCTCACCTGGTTTCCACACGTTTTCGACGAACTCCAGCTTCTGATGCGGCGAGTAGTTGTGGATCTCGTCGAAAACTAGGCCAATGTCGAAGGGAGAACAATCCTCCCTCCGACAAACAGGATCTCCGCGAGTCATAACACTAGTATTTTTTAAACGTTTAACAGTAAATTCCGTCGTTAACCCCTGAGCAAGTTCAAAAGTACTTGTATTGTAGGAGCAACGAAAGAGACCCGCTGGGGGAGGAACTGCCCTTTTTATACTTTGTCAGTAGTTTCCAAGGTAGTTTCCAAACACAACTAGCCAATCAGAAGAGTGTTTTGAGTGAGTTCCGATGACGAAATCTTTGCTAGCCAATCGTGAGGGGTTTTGACTGTGTTCCGCCTGTTATTGTCACCAAATAACAAGGACTTACACCCACCGGTTGCGTAAAGATTGGCTCCACGAACATTTTCCGACGGCTTCCGACGGTTTCCGAGGTGTAATCGAAGCTCGAAAGGCCAGCGCGTGATCCGGAGCGCTCCCGAACGCCTCATGACCGCAATTATAACGAAATTAGTCATTCTAAACGTATTTTCTTTAATAAATAACTGTAAAACAGGAAGATGGTTTATTTCTGGAAGACGTTTAGTGATTTCCACAAAAGTATCAGTAGTTTCCAAAGGGAAATTAGAGTGTTTTCCAAAAGTACTTTTATCAACATTTAACTAGGTCGGAAAAAATTTGAGTGAGTTCCGGAAATCAGGTAAACTACCCTGGATCCACCTGAGAGATTATTCAGCGTTAATTGATTTCCGGTTGATTTTTTGCGATAAGTGACAGATGAGTGAACAATAGGATCATATTATATATTTAAAATGAGAGAGACCAGAGCGTGAGACAGAGAACGGTGAGAGAGAGCGGGAGATTACGTTGATTTTATAAAATAAAACGTGAAGTTTCGGAACATAGCAGATTCTTTAGTCTCATTTCCGACACAGTGGCACCTCCGACGGGACGCGCGAAGCATGGAGGAACTAACCAAAGAAGCAGAGACTAAATTGCAGATGTTGATGTACACTAATGGAAAAACACGTGGCATTGTGGAAAAGGGAAACCTCGGAGCGGTCGCGCGACATCGCGACAACCTACAAGCATTAGTAAAAGAAGTAGACGCGCTTAAACTAAAGGTTGAACAGACCATGTTCAAGGCCGGGAAAAGTGCAGAAGACGTTGGAAGTTGGAGCAGTAGCATTGAAGAACCGATCGCCGAAGCTGACGAAGAAGTTTCGCGACTAGAAAAATGGCTCGTGGAGACGAATGGAGAGATCGAACATCGAAAGCACAAGGACGAAGAGGAAAGGAAAGCCCGTGCTCGTGAAGAGGAGCTTAAATTCGAAAGAGAGCAAATGGAGATGAAGCTAGAATTCGAACGCCAACTGGAAGAGACCAAGGCAAAACAGCAACCTGTTGAGAAGGTTAATCAGACTGAACAAAGGACAACAAAGCTACCGAAACTACAGATCACAAAGTTTAATGGGACGTATGAAGCATGGCTGCCGTTCTGGAACAACTTTCAAGCTGAAATTGATAAAGCAAACCTTGCATCTGTGACCAAGTTTGCATACCTAAAAGAGCTGGTAGATCCAAAGGTTCGAGCGGAGATAGACGGACTGCCTTTCACAACAGAGGGCTACGAAAGGGCAAAGAATATCCTCATCGGCGAATATGGAAAAACGAGCGAGATCGTGAATGCGTACGTCCAGAACATCGCGAATTTGCCTGTCATTCCAGGAACACAACCTGCGCCTATCCACGAATTTTACAAGAAGCTCGTGTACAATGTGCAATCTTTGGAGACACTGGGCAAATTGAAAGACGTCACTGGAAATGTAAGGAGTGTGCTCGACAAACTAAAGGGTGTAAAAGCAGATCTAGTGAGAGGACAAATGGACTGGCAGGACTGGGACTTCCCACAGTTGATAAAAGCTTTGAAAAGTTGGAAGGAAATCAACCCCATTGGGAGCGGCGCGGATAATGCGGGGAAGCAAGGTGCTAAATTCCGCGATCGCGAGAAAACATTTCACGCAAACGAAACTACGCCAACACAAAGAGGGTGCGTCTACTGTGACGCAACTGACCACAGAGCTGTGAATTGCGACAAGTTTGTGACAGTTGGAGACCGCAGGAAACAATTAGGACTGAAACAGCTTTGTTTTAACTGCACAGGAAGTCGACACCGTGCTTCTGAGTGCAAAAGCCGTTCTGGCTGCCAGATCTGCAGTCGAAGACATCATACATCGATCTGTGACAAACATACATCGCGAGACCAGCTGATGACCACAACGAGCGCAGAAAGGAAAGGAGTGGTGTATCCTATGGTAACAGTTGAAGTGAACGGTGTTAGATGCCGAGCATTGTTAGATACAGGAGCCGGAAGTTCCTACGCTTCATCAACGCTTCTGAACTGTTTACATTTGCGCCCTATCCGTCAACAATTCAAGCGCATTGAAATGATGTTTGGTACTTCAAACAAAGCGATAGACATCTATGGCCTACAAATTCGAAGCGTTGATGGTAAATTCACCTTGGAAGCCGAAGTAAACAAAGTCGACCGCAAAGAGTTGTTGACATTGGAAAACCCAAAATGCGCAGAAATCGTGGCTCAGTTTTCTCATTTGAAGGGCGTAACCACAAATGATAACGACGAGAAAGCAATGTTGCCTGTTCATCTGATCCTTGGAACAAACGAGTACGCTAAGATCAAAACAGGGGCAAGACCAAGAGTTGGGCGCTCGGGAGAACCAGTAGCAGAATACACGAAGTTCGGCTGGACGATCTTGTCACCTGGAACAGAGTTGGATCTCAGCAACATGTTGTTAACGCAGACCTCCGCGATTGATTACGAAGAATTGTGCAAGTTAGACGTCTTGGGGCTGAAGGACAATCCAAGTGGAGACCAGGAAACCGTTTACGAAGAATTCAAAGAGCAACTAACTAGGAGTTCAGAAGGCTGGTACGAGACGAACTTGCCCTGGAAAGGAAATCACCCCCCCCTGCCGAACAATCACACTGGAAGTCTAAAACGTCTCAAAAATCTCGTGCGGAAGTTAGAGATACAAGGCGAGTTGGAGAGGTACAACGACATTATCCAGACTCAACTGAGCCAAGGGATCGTAGAACACGCTGACGAGGTGGTCAAGGACGGAAAAGAGTTCTACATTCCTCATAAAGCGGTCGTGCGCGAGAATGCAGAATCTACAAAGATACGCATTGTTTATGATGCTTCTGCAAGAGCTAATGCAAGTGTCCCCTCACTCAACGAGTGCCTCGAAATCGGCCCTCCACTACAGAACCAGCTTTGGAACGTGCTGGTACGAAATAGGTTCTATCCCGTGGCAATAGCTGGCGACTTAAAGCAAGCATTTTTGCAGATTCGCGTCCGAAGAGAAGACCGAGATGCCTTACGCTTTCATTGGATAAAGGATCCGGCAAGCAAACAAGTAGAAACCTTGCGATTCACGCGAGTACTCTTTGGTTTGGCACCGTCACCATTCCTCTTGGCCGCAGTTATCAAAGAACATCTACAGCGATACAAAATGGTGAACCCGGAATTAGTAGAGGAGATAGAGCGCAGTATGTACGTGGATGATTTAATCAGTGGTGGGGAGACAACAGAACAAGCGTTAGAAATCAAGATGACAGCCACGACCATCTTTGGTGAAGCGACTTTCAAGCTGCATAAGTGGCATTCCAACGATCGGGAACTAGAAGTTGAAACTGCGACTGTAGATGAAGAAAGTCAGAGTTACGCCAAACAACAACTGGGAACCAGAAAGGGCGAATCAAAACTGCTAGGAGTCCCCTGGGACAAAGAAAAGGACGAAATTCAAGTCAGCTTCCCGATTTCAACCGCTGAGCCGACAAAAAGAGGTATCCTTGGAAAAGTCGCAAAAATCTACGATCCACTCGGTCTGGCTTCACCCGTGACCCTCTCCGGAAAAATGCTCTACAGAGACGCCTGCGACACGAAGATCGCGTGGGATAGGCCCATCAAGTACCGTATCAGAGCCAAAACAGAAGGAAAGGCCTATCTTGCATTGTACGCGTGCAGTCTTACCCGAGGATTATTCCTGGAAGTACTACCAAGCCTGGAAACCAGTGAATTCCTAAGAAGTCTAAAACGGCTCATCGCGCGCCGTGGGCGTCCGAAGAAGATATATTCCGACAATGGCAAAACCTTTGTTGGCGCCGAGAAGTGGCTCAAACAAGTTATGCGTGACGAGAAGACACAAGATTACTTAGCACATGAGAACATCAAGTGGCAATTCAACCTCAGCCGCGCCGCTTGGTGGGGAGGACAGTTCGAGCGCCTCATCGCACTGGTAAAAACAGCTTTAAACAAGACTATCGGATGCGGAATGTTGACCTGGACAGAGCTGTGTGAAGTGGTACTGGATGTGGAGATTGCTTTGAATAATCGCCCTTTATGCTACGTCGAAGACGACATACAGTTACCCGTGCTTACCCCTAACTCACTGCTATTTCTTCGATCAAACCAGCTACCAGAACTGGAACCACACCATCTAAGAGAATTTGATCTGCGTAGAAGAGCTAAATATTTGCGAAGGTGCAAGCAGGCTTTGTGGACCAGGTGGACTACCGAATATTTACGAGGGTTGAGAGAACGACACCGGATGAAACACAAGGGTCAAACCACGCCCTTGGCCAAAGGAGAAGTAGTCATCATCAAGGACGAGGAACGAAATCGCAATAAATGGAAAATTGGAATCGTGGAAGATCTGATTTCGGGACGGGACGGAATCGTTCGAGCTGCCAAACTTCGAGCGGGGAAAGGAACACTTGAACGGGCGGTACAACACCTTTACCCACTGGAGCTGTCCTGCGATCGGGAGAATGTACAAGCCCCTCTACAGCTCAACCCCTTAGCCCCGACATTCAGGCCCAGGAGGGATGCAGCGGTAGCCGCTCGTTATCGCATTCAAGATGCGAACATTGATTGATGCCGATTAGAGATATTTAGGAACACTGAACTGATATACTAGACTAACTTTCTGTTTCGTTCATTGAATTTCAAATTTCATCGAGTGCGTCATTCTAGTGTTTTTCTCCGTTGAGAAAAACAGGGGAGTGTGTGAGAGATTATTCAGCGTTAATTGATTTCCGGTTGATTTTTTGCGATAAGTGACAGATGAGTGAACAATAGGATCATATTATATATTTAAAATGAGAGAGACCAGAGCGTGAGACAGAGAACGGTGAGAGAGAGCGGGAGATTACGTTGATTTTATAAAATAAAACGTGAAGTTTCGGAACATAGCAGATTCTTTAGTCTCATTTCCGACACAGTACAAAGTTTCCAAAGATAACGATTTCTCTTTGCCCCCGCAGGGTTTTTGGCCCCAGAGGGCCAAAAACCCGAGGAGGCACCTTAGGACTCCCCGCGTAATATAGAGGAAGACTGGAGAAGAGGGAATGTGGGTATTTTCGGTAGATCATAACCAGAAAAAATCTCGATTTGATCGCTTGCACGGCCGCAAGGTATCAACGTTTTTCCCGCAAATGGTCATGGGCTGCCAGTAAAAAGACACGCGCGCGAGGACTTTTAGGATCGGCGTCTTTGACACGAGATTTGTCCTAGTATAGAGGAAGACTGGAGAAGAGAGAATGTAGGTGTTTTCGGTTGATTGTAACCAAAAAAAATCTCGATTTGATCGCTTGCACGGCCGCAAGGTATCAACGTTTTCCCCGCAAATGGT